ATTTACTCTCGGGGGGCTGTGAAGACTTGAAGAAATTTTATGATCTTTGCAGTTAAGAAAGAAAGAAACAAAGAAAGAAAAAGAAAGAAAGAAAAGGAAACGTAGAACAAAATCTTAATTTCCTTTGCCTGTTTGTGTAAAACTTGGCTTTTCTAACCTACTGCCTCCACTAAAAACAAACAGATGTAAAAATTGGTTATGAAAATAACTGTTTGATAGCAAATAACTGTTTGATATTTCTGCCCACGGCGAGAACATGTAAGTGAATGACGCTGAGGGTCTGAGAGACAGGAGGTGACATTTCTTGCTACTGCACAGAGTCAGAAGCCGTGGGAAACAAGAGTCGGAATCAGTCAGTGCCAGTGTCAGTGAGTGTTCAGACGGACTTCATGATCGAGTTTCTTCTTCAATTTATGTTAATAAAACCAGTTGGTTATTTCCGGTAAAGTGACCTTTTTATATTGTCGCAGTGAATTTCATAACAATACATGTTGGCTGAGCTTCAGAATGGATCACCGGAAGAATCTGAAATGTAAAAGAATGGATGTTGTTGATAACGCTCCCTAACGCCGAGGGAGGCCCGGAGAGAAAGAACAAGAAGCCAGGCCTTCTCGGCAGTTGCCCCTCACCTTTGGAACAGCCTGCCCCCAGAGATCTGTCTGGCTCCCTCGCTGGGTGTTTTTAAGAGCAAACTTGAGACCTGGCTGTTTAGGTTTCCCTCCTGTCTTCACTTGACCCATCTTGAACTATATTACTATGGTCGTTTTTTATTTTATTATATTGTTTTTATTCTATTTTTTTATTGTTAGCCACCCAGAGTAGACTTCGGTCTAGATCTATGTGGGGCTGCCTTTGAGGCTGATGTGGAAACTTCAGGTGGTGCAGAATGCAGCGGCCAGACTCCTTAGTGGAGTGAGAAAATACCAGCATATTTCTCCTATTCTGGTCATGCTGCACTGGCTGCCCATTCGTTTCCGCATCGACTTATAAGGCCCTAAATGGTTTAGGACCTCGATATTTGGCAGAACGCCTGCTCCCACCAAGGTCTACCCGGATCACCCATGCAAGTCACGAGGTGAGGCTGAGGAGCCTGACGCCGAGAGAGGCCCGGAAGGAAAAGACACGAAATCGGGCCTCCTCGGTGGTGGCTCCTCACCTCTGGAACAACCTCCCTCCAGAGATTCGCGCGGCCCCCATGCTGGGCACCTTTAAAAGCCAATTAAAAACATGGCTGTTTATCCAGGCCTTCCTTCCAGTGAATTCTAGATTTTTATTCTTCCTTTGTTTATTTCTTACTCCGTCTTTGTATTGTATTTGTTATTGGATGATTATGTAATATTTTTGAGTTATTTTATTATTTTATGTTATATTGAAAGCCACCTAGATTGGTCCTATAAACCAGATGGGCGTGATACAAATCAAATCAAATCAATCAATCAATCATCAATCAATCAATCAATCAATCAATCAAAATTGATAAGGGTATATCATATTCAAAGCAAAATGAAGCTTCTTCCAGTCATCTTATAAAGTGTCACCATTATAGTAGGGAATATCTATCTGTGGCACCTTTGGTGGTTTGTGGCAAGAAAAGATATTTAAAGGGTATCCATGGTAAAGAAATGTTGCTATATTTCATTTATTTAAACGTAGTAGCCAGATCTGATCTTCACGCCTAGCATAGCCTCCACTGGGCAGATTTCATATCTTTCAGAAGGAAACTGTTTTCAGATCTTTCAGAAGGAATCTGACAAGCAGACAAACAGTACACAGTATGGTGGTATTGAATTACCAAAGAAAAGTAATTTCTTTCCTAGGCTTTCCTACCACATACCACCAATAACAATTGTGTGTCATCAAGTCAATTCTGACTCATGGCCAGCCTTTCTCGGGCTTTCTGGATAATGGACAACTCAGAAGTGACTTTCCCTTCCCGTCTTCTTGAGGTGCCCTGGGACTATGTAGCTTGCCCAAGGCCACACA